TCTCCTGCCTCAGCCTCCCAAGTAGCTGGGACCACAGGTGCCCGCCACAACGCCCAGCTATTTTTTGGTTGCAGCCATCATTGTTGTTTGGCGGGCCCAGGCTGGATTCAAACCTGCCACCTTGGGTGTACGAGGCTGGTACCTTAGCCACTTGAGCCACAGGCGCCGAGCCACATTCTTGCTTTATAAAATGAGGTTAATAATAGTTTCAGTGTCAGAAAGCTGTTATGAAGATTATATTAGTTAATTTATTTTACACAACAGCATCCAGTGTATAACAGTGGTCAATAAATGCTAGTATAGGCTACAATACACAGTTTGGATTTTAATTACAACAGGCCGTCATTTGGAGGTTTTAGGTCAGGAGAGACATGATCTGACTTACCTTAAAAAAAAAAACAAAAAACTGTCTCCTTGTGTACAACAGACAAAGGGACCAGGAATAAAGGATATTCATTAGAAAGCTGCTTAGAAATTGTTTAAGATTATTTAATTTGCAACATAGTTTGAAAGAAGGGCAAAGGGGACTTACTAATGGTTTGGATGTGAGAGGTGTGGGGGGAGGGGGGAGAAAATCCTAAGGATAAGTTTTAGGTTTCTGGTCTGATCAGTTATCTAGGTAGATGGCAATGCTATTCTCCAATATGAAAAAAACTAGGAGGAAAGCAGGTTGGGAGGAAAGTCTAGTGCAGGTTTAAGATGGCCACTAAAAGTTCCAGTGGTGCTAGCAGTAGCACTTGGGGTTTACTAGCATAAAGCTCAAGGGAGAGATTAGGGCTAGTCTTGGAATCAATCATCTATTTCTGAAAATTGTTTTCTAGGTCAGTGCAGTGGCTCATGCCTATAATCTTAGCACTCTGGCAGGCCAAGGCAGGTGGATTGCTTGAGCTCAGGAGTTTGAGAACAGCCTAAGCAAGAGCAAGACTCCATCTCTTAAAAAAAATAAAAAATAAAACAAAAACCCAGGCACTGTGAGTGGGTGCCTATAGTCTTAGCTACTTGGGAGATTGAAGCAAGAGGATCACTTGTGCCCGAAGAGTTTGAGGTTGCTGTGAGCTATGATGCCATGGCACTCTGAGGGCAACAAAGTGAGACTCTGTACCAAAAAAAAAAAAGAAAGAAAATTGTTTTTAGTCTCTCTTGGCGAATTATTATAGAACAAGTGCTCAACACACGTTAAATTGACTAAAGAATCTAAAAGTTTACCTTTAAAAATTTGACAGATTTTTCAACATTTTCCTATGCATCATTAAATAAATTTTAGAAATTAAATGCTAGACTTGTAATAAAAGCATGCTTTAGGAAAGAACAATTAAGTAGCAAAAAGAAGAAAACATTAAGAATTAAGGACTAGTTTCATATATCCAATTCCTGTTTACGATTTCTTGAAAAATGGTCAATGTCTTAGCATGTAAATGTTTCCAAAATATAAATAGAGATTATATGTGACCTCTAACATCAATGAATAATGCGACCTCATAGGAGATTACATTTCACTCTCAGAATCAATGGCTCTTTCCATCTTCTTGATTCTAAGTATTACAGAGGGAAGATTTTTTTCTCTTTTGTTTCTTTCTCTTCTTATATGTGACCACCATCAATATAATTTATCCACAGGATACTAT